CTTGCTTCACCCAATTTTTCCATTTCTGCTCAAAAACACAAACTAAAAATACAATGAATAGCTAGAATCAATCACCAAGTTTCAGCTTGCCTGTCTGAGGAACCTGCCAAAGGAGCTGCACCATAACAACAAAGAAACCCCATAATCAGAAACCCTATACCTGCCCATCTGAGGAGCCAGTAAATGAGGCCAGGGGTATCTACACCATCTCCACAGACCTGTTCAAGCATGTCAAGAACAATATGTCAAAGGATTCAACAGGCCCTGAACCATCAGACAACATCCAGGTGCAGTCCAATGGAACTAAGACCTTTGGAACAACCCACTTGTACATCCCTCCATCACAATGCCAGCATTGCATGCACTCCTATCATGATCACCCAAGCACTGGACATCCCAGGCAAAAGGCAATATTTGCCAAAATGAGGAAAGAAGTATGGTGGGAAGGCATGGGAATGGACATCAAGAAATATGTAACAGGCTGTCTGGTATGCCAAACAATGAAGGTCATTACTCATCTGCCAAATCTGCCAGTGACCCCACATGACATCCCCAATTCCCTGTTCCCATTCCAACAGATCTCAATGGGTCTCATCACAGATCTTCCCATGTTGGGCCCTGAGAAGTATGACTTGACCCTGACAGTTGTCAATCAGGGCCTGACTAAGGGCACAATGTTTATCCCATGTCACAAGACAATGGACTCTGTCAGGATCACCTATCTATTTCATCATTTCATTTATTCTCATTATGGCATCCTTGAATTGGCAATCTCAGATCATGGACCCCAGTTCACCTCTGCTTTCACAAAAGAACTCTATAAGGTGATAGGGGTCAAACCAAAGCTTTCATCTGGGTACCATCTGCAAACCAATGGAGAAAGCAAACACATAAACCAAGAAGTCGAAGGGTATCTCTGCATGTATTGTGCAGAGTTGCCAAACTCCTGGGCTTCAAAAGTACCTATGGCCAAATTCACTCACAACTCTCACATCCACTCCATTCACAAGATGACTCCATTCTCCCTCCTTATGGGTTATGATCCTGTGCCCTATCCAAAAAAGCAGCTCACACCTGTCCCCACAGTTGATGAACAACTTGAATCATTAGCTGTCAGCTGGGATACTGCAGTTCTGGCTCATAAGGCTGCACAAGAGGTCATGTGCCATCACTCCAAAGGGGATTATATTGAACCTAAGATCAGCAATCAAGTTCTCCTAGATACTGGGTGGTTACATGTCAAAAATTGATGCAATAAGATTGCACCAAGATGGGTCAGACCTTTCAAGATCACTGCTGTCATCAGCCCAGTAGCAGTTCACCTTGAGCTACCCCCAACCTGGAAAGTCCTTCCTGTATTCCACACATCCTGCATCTTTCCATATATCAAGACTGACAAATATGGACATAGTCTTCCACATCCACTGCCAGAGCTGGTTGATGACAAGCTAGAATGGGAGGTGGAGGCTATACTAAACCATAAACAGGACAGGCACAGAGGAAAGTGCAGTTACTTGGTCAAATGGAAAGGGTTCCCCCATTCATCCAATACTTGGGAACCTGAAGACAATATAAAGGAGCATGCTGAAGACATGCTTGACCAGTACAAACTCACTCACCATCTCAGATCTTAATGGACTCACCTTGCTCTGTCAATACTGAGAATGACTTTGTTGACAGTATTGGATCCTTTATGATGCCTCCTGTGAACACAATTCCCCCTCTTCATTTGCCCTGCTCCTGTAATATGGTCTGCTCAGTCTCCTTGCCCTTCTCACAGGCAGGGGGATGTTCCAATCACTCAAAGATTCAGATCCCCAACTACTCTCACCCCTTCTCTGCATTCTCTGTCTGCCATGTCCCACTGTGCAGAGCCCCTCCTGGAAGGGACAGTAATGCCTCAGGAACATGAAAGGATAAGGGAAAAGCTAAATATGATGCCAATAACCAAGCAACCTCACCCTGTGTCCCTGATGAAGCCACCCCCAGTGGTTATCAACACCAAGGTCAACCCCCTTCCCCTTCCCTCTGCTCAACCCAGCCTATCATGCAGCCTATCAGTTACTTGCTGCCACAGCAAGCACAAGGCCACACAAGCAAGGACTACCAATCCCAGAAGGTCACTTCCTCAACCTGGTTTGGTTGCTTATGAACTATGATGAGGGGGACAAGCTTGACAAGTGGTCACCAGAACAAAACAACTATCTATGGATGTTGTCTTTGCTCTACTGAGCATCAGACATAATCACTGCAATCACTCAGAAGCTCAGGGTCAGGACCCTGACCAGGGGATGTCCCCTTGTCAATCAGCTTCTTGTCAGGGTTATGGAACATTCTGCCAGAGATGTCCAGGACACTGTTGCTCATGCCACATATCACCTATCTACAGCTCAGCAAAACCAGGCCTTTGCAAGATCACCTCTGTTCAGGGTTAGAGATCACCTGAGGAAACTAGGGACCACTGTCACATGAGAAGTGCCAAAGGAAGAAGAAAAGGCATGGGTACCCAAAGTTCTGGTTGATAGGCTTGGAAAAGATGAGCTCTTTAGACAAACATCCTTTGTTCTTAATGGTATCACTCCTACCTGCAAGCATCAAGAAGATTGGGAGGCTCTGCTTCATAATGCTGCTTGGGTGGGTAGTGACCAGGCCTACTTTAACACCATCTGTGCCACAGCACCACTCCCCTGTGAACCCTTTCTTCCCATCCCCACTGACCAACTCCACAATTATCTCAGTGGTTGTACTTGCATCCCTGATGGACACCCCCTCTCTACCCCTTCACCTGCTACCAATTCCACAAGCTCAGACATTGGTCCTGCCATAACAGTGCTGGATCATGCTGAACCCCTGCTGCCCACAAGAACACCTCTCCATCTCCCTCACCTCCCACTCCCCACTTGTCTTTGCAATGCCTGCTCACAGCATGCCTATCCTCCTCTTCTTCAAGGGTCCAACAAGCTTGAGAGGGGGGTGATGTTACACCTCAAGCCAACCCCTTTCCACTTTTGGTTGCATGACACTTATGCCATTGTGACTCTTACATTCCAGATCATCACCACATGGGCTATAGTCTGGATCATCCACCATCTGTGGAGGAGGTTGGTTGTGGTCTAGAAGTAGCACAGGTTGCTGCACTTTGTTTGCTTGATTGTAGGTTTCCCCTTGCCTGTTTCTCATTTATACTTGTACAATATGTCATCTCATCTCGTTCCCCTACCATCAGTACTGCCCCCTTGCTGTGCTTGATTGCACAGCCAGTCTGGGCCTCATTTCCTTTACTACTGAGTCATCCTGACTCATTTCTATTTCATTGTTGACTGTCTGCAGCAATCTACTATTTACAGAGTCATTGTGTGCCCTCCCCTGCAGAGTACATAAGTAGAACTATGATACTCTGTAACCTTAGTTTTTTGCTACCTTGCAAATCCCCATATTCTTGCTCTCTTGCTCTCTTCAGTGTCAGAAATGTCCTTCCCTCCTGAAGGAGTGTGTCAAAGTTAGCATCACTTGAGGATCCATAGGGGTAATGACAAGTTCAGCCTATAGTGTGTCCCTCCTTCAATTTGTGCCTAGTCCATTTGATGAAGTCACTGCATTGGAGCATAACAATGGTCTTGGGAAGCCATCAATCATGGCAACCAGCTCTTGTGAATGTGGAGAGTTTGAGCAGAATTTTTAGGATGTGCTCACCATAACATCCATTGGATCTAACATTCCCTCAGTTGGCTGGCATGATGATGCCCATGACATTGCAAACTTCCTTCATCAGGAAATTAATTGATGTCTATTGTGCCTTTCACATGCATGGACAGTCAAAAAAGTCTGGATAGTTGCCAGGACTATTTCTAAGCAGACTCTATTTCTATTTTGACTATCCATACTATTTTTCTGACTATCCATCTATTTTTCTGACTATTCATACCATTTCTGTCTGACTATCTGGTCTATTTTTGACTATTCATTGACTATCCACACTATTTTTTTTTGACTATTTGTACTATTTGTGACTTTCCAGACTTTTCATGAGGGCGACTTTTTTGACAATCTTGATAGCAGGCTCACATAGTTCACAAATAATGCATCACAAGATCTCATTCATTTACCACAAAGCATAGTAGGAAAAAAAAAATTAAAATGAGCATAGTAAGCACTTGCATCTCGATTCAAGTGCAAGTGGAGGATTGGACTTGAAGTGGTGGAAAGAATGATTAAACATTTATGCTAACAGGCATCTGAGTGATTGGGGGAGGGATGGGAGAGTATGTGATATATGTATGAAATATTCTGTGCCACACAATGTAGGGGATTGCGATGAGGGGATATCCAGCCAAGTCCATCCTGTCAACTCATCAGCAAGATACTCATAGCATACACAAAATCTTACAGATGCTTTGACATAAATCAGTATTAACAGCAAAATAAAGCTCATCCATCAGGTCACCTGGAGAACTGCCATCATCCAACATCTCTGTGGAGGGGATAACAAGGGTGTGAGCCATAGCAATGATCTCACTCATTGCAGCATTATTGCATTTAGAAGTGGATGCATGATAGTTGCGAGTGCTGGTGCCCCAATTCTGCTCAGAGAATGCCAGTGCACTTGATGGCTCCTTCTTGGACACTTTGTTGAGCTTGAGCAGAGTTTTTGCTGTGGCCCTCATACCATGGGTACTCATTTGATCATCGAACTTGCACCTCCCCCTTTGGAATAGCTGAATGGCATGCTCAAGCTAAAGTAACAGTTAAAGCTGCAGATCAATGACTGACAAAAAGTTACATACTGTGGCAGCACAAAGGGAAAGTGCCCCTCTGACAGCATGTTTCTTCATCATGTTGGTGCCCAGTCCTGGAATGTCAGGGCATCCAATACAAGGCTGAAGATGGGCATGCATGAAGAGTTGCAGAATGAAGTGTGATCAATAAGTGTGTGCTGGGTTCATCACATTGAGGTCTTGATATAGGAAGGAAAGCAGTCCATCTATGAGTTCATTGCAAGTTCACCTGACAGCAGTGGTGGACCATGCATCATCATCCAGATCCAACATAAGAAAATGAGCAATGAGTGTGATGGTGGTAGAGCCAAAGTTGCTGTGCCACAGACTGAGTTGCCAAGTTGCCTGCCCAAAAAATGAGTCAAGTATCTAGTTTAAGTGTAAATAGAATAATCTTACCAGCATGAAAGTCAGCATCCCTGGGCATACTGCATGAGAATCAAAATCCAAGACAAGGGAGGTCATGATAATTTGAAGGGCAGTCATGAGCTCCAGATCTGGGATTGCCCATGGATCAGGGAAGGACCTGGCCCACATGAGGAGAGTGGGAAGCATTTGTTTTGACCATCTTCTATCCTCTTGCAGCTCTTCAGGCAAGTTTGCATTGATGAAACATATGCACCTGCAAGTCATGCTGTTGGTCCCCATCAAAAGTGGCTGATCTGATGTGGAACTTGCTAAGGCCAACTCCCTTGATTCCTGAGTCATAGCTTTAGTTCTGCGCTGGCTACTGTCACTAACCTTCACTTTCTTCACCAGCTTGTCAATTCTGATATTAGTCTGTGACTTGACATAGGTTAGCAACAACCTTAAGTGAACCAGAGGACATACCATTGTAGTAACACATGACTCCTTTACAACCTTCATGCAAACATTTACATCACAGAGGTCACAGAAAGAACCCCCATCATCCACATTCTCAACTTTGGATGAGAAGACATATTCAATGTTGTTGTGATTGGTGTGCCTGCACTTCAAGCCAGCCTGCACTGCATGGGAAATAGGATTTTCGACCTCAAGATCACTCTTGGCATCAGCACTTGTGTTAGTAGCATGTGCCATAGCCTAGAAATAGTACCAGTGTGTGTGAGAGACTCGTGGGCTTTTGTGATCCAAAGAAAAATACCTCAACAGGCTTCTGGTACCACATAAACTCAGTGGAGATGGTAAGGGGGTCCCCAAAGTAATGTTCATCCTCATCATGGGCCACTGCAGGAACATTGTTGCTGATCATATGGCATTCAGTGCTTTCCTGTGACATAGCATGCTCCTGATCATCCTCTGTGACAGAAATTTCTGAGCTGACACTGGTGGCTTTAGTTGTTAAGGATGAGACAGTGGAATGGGGCAGGTTAGGCATCCCATCGGTTTGAACTTGGGAGCCCAATGTTACAGAATTGTGGGGGGTACCATTTCCAACAGGTGCAACACTGCTGGCCCAGCTCTTGACATGACCAGCCAAAAGAGTCCTATTGTTTGGGGCACTAACATTCCAAGTAAGGTTCAGCCAAAATAAAGTTGATTCAGTGAGCAGAAGGAGCATTGTGCAAGGGAAGAGCACAATGTACTGGGACTTTCCTGGGTTGGGCACATGTGCTGAAGTTGCCACTATCATCACCCAGCAGCTCAGTCATATTGTGTTGTCTTGGTAGCTTATCACTCGAGCCCAAAAAATCATCAGCAGTCACACAGTGAGCTTCTACTTCTATATTCACAACTGTTGATTGATTATCAGCATCTGGAACCAGTGAATTATGAAATTTGCAACCACACCTTCACCATGAGGCAAGTCAGATATATTTGTAGGTCTGCCTTGCCTGCCCTTTGGTTTCAGTTTCAGCTTCACAGGCTTCACTTTGACAGTATCTTGTGTCACCTGCTCTACCTCCATGGTTGCCTCCATCTCTGAGATCCAGGTGCAGCCCTGTTGAACTGCAGCAGCATGAGCATCACTCAAGTCCTTCGCATGTGAGTCATCAGCTTTCTTCTGGCTTGAAGTGAGTCATTTAACCTGTGTGTCAAGAACTATTTGTCCTGGGTGTAGATTAGCCTTTTCTCTTTGCAGACAATGACTTCTAGAAGAATCGTTGGCTGACATAGTACCTGCAATGCAAGGATGGAGATGGAGATAGAGCAAGGTGAGTTTAAACTTCGCTTCTTTATGCAAAAAAGATCTCACAAACAATGTACCTAGTTTCTGTACAAAGTCCTGCTTACCTCAAGCTAATTCACCCACACCATCCCAACATGTTTCCTTACATTGAAAATGCCTGCATGACTGACATTTAATGTGCTATGACACCCTTTGTGCTGAACTGGGGTGCAACCATTGGTTTAGAAATCTCTCAGGTCTTACTCCACACACACACACACACACATCATCCTAGTTTAGGCCACATTCCCCCAAGTTTTGCCATCAGCACAGGGTTGCCTGACCATTTGGGACAAGACTACAATGGAACAGACCATGATGCAGACATGTTTCCTCCAGCAACCAAGTATGACATTCCAACTCCCAGCCATCAAGAACTTGGCAATGTCAATGGTGATGGTGATGACTCTGACTCATCGGGCTGGGAATGCGAGAGTCTAGGGCCAGAGTTTGTTGGTCCTGTGGGTAGGACTTATCACAATTGTCATCCAGGTCTAAATGGTAATTTGCATATACACTACAATAACTACTTCAACTAATACCTTGTCCATAGCATGAAGATGCGATGCCAGCAGTCAATATCTGTCAGACAATGCACCATCACCACTGTCTGTGGAGAGGTCTTCTGATGACTGGTCCCCTTTCTGAAACTGGCTGGAATTCAAGCTCACAGATTTTCTCTTTAGGCAGGCTGAAATGCCTGCCAAAAAAATTGACACATTGCTTGAAACCTGGGCCACATTGTTACTTGCCTTACATGGGGAACTGCTATTTGCTAACCAGAAAGACCTTTATCATGTCATCAACAGCACATCTGTCAGCAAGGTCAGGTGGGAGAGTTTTGTGGTGCAGTATGCCAACAATGGATGAGATGGACAAGACAGCAATATGGCTCCTTGGATGCTCAACAGTTACAATGTATGGTATCAAGATCCACATAAAGTCATCCACAATGTTCTTGCTCGCACTGACTTAATAGATCAAATCAACTACATACCATACTTGGAGTATGATTCTACAAACAATCAAAGGTGCTGGGAGGATTTCATGTCAGGAGCCTGGGCATGGAATGAGGCAGTAAGTCAGTGCCCACTGCAGCTTGAAACTTGATGCTAACTTCACACTCCTAGGACAGAATCATTAGTGAGGATTCAACAATGGCTGGGGCAACACTAATTCCCATCATTCTTGGTAGTGACAAGACAACAGTATTGGTAGCAACTGGCCAGACCAACTATTACCCCTTGTATCTCTGCATTGGAAATGTTTGCAACACTGTTCATCACTGCTCACTGCAGTGCAGTAGTCCTCATTGGGTTCCTGGCAATTCCAAAGAGTAAGATCGCACATTCTATGAGTTTGTATCACTGCTAACATACCATTTAGCCACTAGAGAACATGCCAGTTCCTCTGCTTTCTGAAATTTCAAAAGGCAGCTTTTTCACTCCTTGCTAACATGCATTCTTTGTTCACTTCAACCTGCCATGAGTGTCCCAGAAATCATATTATGTGGTGACAAATACTATCAGCACATCATATATTCACTAGCAGCTTATATAGCTGACTACAAGGAACAAGTTCTGTTGTCTTGTATCATACAGAATTGGTGCCTGAAGTGCTTCTCACACTGGGAGAGTCTGGATGATGACACAGCTCCATTGTTGTCATGAGTATGCTGATGCTGTGATCGAAGAATTTGACTTTCATAAACTGTAGGACATGTATGGGATTGTTGGCAACATAGTGGTAAGTGTAACCCCATGTTTTCTTTTGTTTTCTAATCAAAGACAGCTGTTTACAAATGATTTTCTGCATGCAGACATCTACAGCATGCTTTCACCAGATATCCTCCACCAGCTTATCAAAGGTGGGTTCAAGGACCACCTGGTGGATTGGATCAAGCACTACCTAATCCATGTTCATGGAAAGACACAGACAGAAAAAGTCTTGGACAAGATTGACTGGCAGTATGTGACTTCAATTAATATTTGTATCTACTTCCTGGTGTTTCAGGATCACAGCTGTTGCCCCATATACTGGGCTGTGGCATTTCCCTCAAGGTCGACACTTGAAACAGTGGACTGGCAATGATTCCAAGGGCCTTATGAAGGTGTGCTCATCTGTATTTCCTTTGTGTGATTATTGACCAGTCCTTCACAGGTTTACATCACAGCAATTGAAGGTTATGTTCCACAATATGTCATCTCCACTTTTCAAGCCTTTCTGGAATTTTGTTACCTTGTTCATTGGAACATTATCACTCAACAAATGCTTGTTGAAATTGATGATGCACTCAGGCACTTCCACCTTTATCATGAAGTCTTCCAGAATTCCGGGGTAGTTGATACCTTCTCACTGCCCTGGCAACATGCTATGAAGCATTACTACCACCTTATCTGTCAGCTCAGTGCACCTAACAGCCTCTGCTCTTCAATTACAGAGTCCAAACATATTAAGGCCGTCAAATGGCCTTATTGGCACACTAACCACTTTCAATCTCTCAGACAGATGCTTTTGATCAACCAGAGGCTCAACAAGCTCAACACTGCATGTGCTGACTTTAAAGAATGTGGTATGTTAAATGAACCATTGCTATCACATGTGCTCAGGGCTCTAGGTACAAGTATTAATCCTATGATTTGCCCCTTTCTGATGGGCACTCAAGTCAACATTCCAACAATGCTGATGATCCATGTGACCAAGTTGGGGAAAGCCATGACATGGCTGATGAAATTGAAGAACAAACAGGGAGTTATGAGGAGGAACTGGGCAATGCTGTTGATGCTCCCAGGTCAGTCAAGGTCCATGTATCATTGGCTCGTACTCATTGTATGTCTCAACCTTCCACTCTGTACATACTCAGATGCTAACTGGTTTAAATGTCTTAGAACATAAGCATGCAAGGACTGTAGGCACCCTAGCAGCTGAGCCCTGCCTGCCACAGCTTCCCAACATTCTGCACCACTTCCTCTACTCAAAACTCTTTCCCACTGATGATCTGGATGACATCCCCCTCAATGAGTGCCCACCCTATGATGGTAGCATGCATGTCTACAACTCTGCATGTTCCACTTTTTTTGCACTAAGCAATCTATGTGGCCTCTATGGCATGCACCACAAGCACATTCATTCCTGCCCCATGTGGAGGAACAAAGGACCCTGTTTCAACTGCATCTCTGTTGTAACCAATCCGGAGGTAGAGGGTATGCATGGACTGGACATTGCCCACATTCTGTGCTTTTTTTCATTCAAGTATCAAGGCACTTTGGATCCATGCACTGTCATATGTTGGTTCAACCACATGGGGGATGGCCCAGACATAGCTACAGGGATGTGGATCATCCACCCAAGTTACAATGCACCCAATGTCCCATACATCACCATCATTCACATCAACATGATATATTGTGTGGCCCATCTCATCCCTATTTATGCTGCCCACAACATCAACACCAGAGACATCAAGCCTCATGACTCCTATGATATGTTCAATTCCTTCTATGTGAACAAATTTGCCAACCATCATGGATTTGAAATTGCATTCTAGCTTGCCATGGTATGCTCAATGCATACTCGAGAACCACCCAAATCAATCAGCCATATTTACCATGTAACATTTGCTATCCAATTCCTGACCATGAGTTGAAGCAGGTTCATCTATCAAGTTGACTGGTGGTGGCCTCTACTAATTAGTATCCCAGACTCTGCACTGGACACATACTCACATGCCATCCAAATCAACCCATACATCTCTGAGGTGTGTCATGTCATCTCACAGCAACTACAGTTGCTAAAGAATGCCCAAGCAACTGGTGGTCAGCTTCCCACTGCCCCTGGTCCACAAGACATTCACCCAAATGCCTATGCTAACCCATCTACACTTCCACCTGGCTTGAGTGGCCCTCTGCTCCTCCTTCAGTCGACTTCCACCCACCCCCTACTTAGGTCTGACTCTAGAGGTCCAGGAAATAATGATAGCCTTCATTTGCCCCCACCTCCTGTGCCTGTTAGCTGTGCCTCTCCTCCATTCAGGGGTCCTCCCCCTCCTATTTCTATCAATGAATTGCAGCATCCCACCTCTCACACCCCACTTGCCCCTATGGATGTTGATTACCCCCATCACTGCAACTTCTCTGGCCCTTCCCAGGATAGCGTTGGTCATGGCCCTGCTGGTCACCCATGTCTCTTGCTTGCTGCACCACCCCATCCCACAACAGCAGCTCTCAACAGAAGAACTGTGATCTTCTGCCAACCAGGATCTAGCACAGCATTTGGAGTACTTCAACCACCCACTATGTGTCCCTTTTGGATCTGTGTCACCTGCTCCCCATCCCACTTGCCCTCACTCTCTTGTTTCCACCTTCCTGGCCTACCCTCCTCCAAGTCATCAGCCAATCAGGCCAGCTCAGCCAAGCATTCTGGCTTCCCAGCATACACTGCCTTCATATCCACATGAGCTACATGCAGCAGATCACAATATGGCCTGGGATTGCCATGGTCCTCACCCAGAGCACCATCATGACTGGGAGGATCACAACCACCACAGATGTTCTGAATATCCAACTCACCCTTCACAGCAACCTTACTACACCTCCTGCTCCCCAGGACCTTGCTGTGCCCTGAGTCCCATGGAGATGTCACCTCACTCTGCCCATCACTCATGGCCTCATTGGGACTTGAAGCCCCCTGGTGGCCTGTCCCATCAACCTTTGGGTCCTCCTGAAAGCAGGCACTGGTGCTATGATCCAACCAGATTCAATGCACACAAATGTCCAGTTGAGCAAGACATGGAGTTGAGAAGGCACTCAAGTTCAGTTGTCAACTCACCAGAGGCAGTACCTTGTGTTCTGCTACATACAAATATTCACATGTCTATGTCTCCAGAGCATTCATCAGCCAACTCAAAGAACAGGAGGAAGCAGCCACAACCAGCAAAGGACAAGGATTTGGACACACAAAGTATTGGTGGGTCAATCCCTAGTGATGCCCCAAAAAGGAAGAAGCATCAACATCAGGCCAAGGATGACTCTGGCTTACCCACTAATCTACCTGCATCATTCAAGGTTCCTTCATTCTCAGCTAAGGATGGACAGGACATGGCAAGTTTGAGCAGTTCTGTAAATTGTTCACTACAGCCATCTCTGACTAGTGCCACCCCACACCTGCCATCCCAAGTGGTAGATGAGGATTATGATGAGGGTGTTGCTGATGCATTAGTTAACTTGTCCCAGACCCATCCTGCCAAGCAGTCAGCTTCTGCACATGACAACTACAATGCAATGATGCACTCACCAACACTGTCTAATGCAAGTTTCCACACTGTCAATTTGCCACATGATGCCACCCCCCATCATTGATCTACATCATCCTCCAACAGTCCTTCACCTGCTTCATCCAGAGCATCATCCCTCAAGTGACCACTCAGTCCTGTGATGGAGGAAACAGACAGTAAGCACACTTGAGTTGAGAGTGTGAAGTGAGGTAGCAGTTCATCTTCTGGATGACACACCTCTGTTCCATCTCACTCATCTTGGTCCTTCCACATGCCACCCATGTCACACTTGCCTGATTCTCATCTGCATAACAAGAGTCACTTGAACACTTCTGAGACAAGGGTTCTCTTTTGATGGATGCATGTATTTTGACTGTGGTGGGCACAGGTAAAGACTCAGTGAGCAAGTGCTTGCAGACAGTACTCAAAAGGTGTTAGAACAACTGCATGGCTGACCATCTGGGACACAAACTTGAGAAGCAGTTAGGCATTAGGTAGTATATATAACTCAAGTACTAAATGAACAGAGACCCCTGTATATATGGTATATGGCACAGAATAACACTTTCTTTACTACTACTACTATCTTGACTAGTTTGACTTTTGAACTTTTCAAGAAATACTATCTTGACTATTTTAACTATTTTGACTAATCTAAACTTTGTCTGTATTGAGTGTGACCAGAAATAGCCATAATAGTCAAAATAGACAAATAATTCCATAAAAAGCATGGATAGTATTTGGTTAATTTCCTGATGTTCTAAACTACCTCCCTGAAGAGGCCACCCCTGCATTGCTGCCTACTTGCCTTGCACATGTTCCAGAAGCCACAAGTGACACATGCAAAGAACTTGGCTATCACTGTCAGAGGCTCATAGTAGTTGCTCACTCATTTGGTGGCACTTCCCCATAGGTATTTGTGTTGTTAAGTTTGCTCATTGCTCATTTCTTCTTGTGCAGAACCTTGGCAGCTTTGAATTCCCCCAATTTTTTTTCATCCCTCATACTGGTGGACCCCATCATTTTAGCTGACAAGACTAGGACTGTTGAGGAAGCTTTCAGGTTTGCTGTTAATGCTTTCACCAGGCAAATGTTTTGGTCATCTTGGTGAGTGCTGGTTTTGATATAGTTGCTTTTACTAATTGACACCAGTGAAGACACCCTATGTCAGTTCAAGCAATCACCATTCTTCACATCCTGGCACCCAGAAGTCCTGAAGACATACATTGATCATGGGTTGACTGTAGACACCATGGGCAGTGTCAGATTGAAAATGACCACCATTCAGCTGAGCTATAACTAGGGAGATCACAGAGATATAATTATTAGCTATACATTACTTGTTTACTCAGAGAGCTTGGCCTGTATCTGACTGAAAATTGTGTGAGGCACATCCAGGGGTGCCTGGAGGGGCTGTGTATAAGCCTATGTAATGACAATTCACTACACAGTCCTGAATAGGAAATACCAACTACTAATCTGTCTCTGTAGCTGCGAATCTCCTATGGGGAAAAAACAGTTTGCAGATGCTTAGTACCCTTATAAGGACTTATGGTCCTTATCAGGGAGTTACAAGGTTCTCGACATTTTGCTGATGACTTGGTCTTGACGTTCAGTCCACAAATTTCACCTTAACCTCTGCTTGCCGCCGGGTCAAAACGGGCCATTGAAGTGATTGAGCCCGACTCCCAGGCTCCCCTCCACCCTCTGTGAGGTTCATGATCAGCGGCCGCATCCAAATGTGCATATATATGGCGCACAGTGTGTTACCTCGAGCATACCATCCCTGGCGCAACAGTTCCAGAAGACCGCACGAGCCGCACTTGACCACCTCTCCTAGCTCGCTAATGATAGCTGGACTGTTTTCATGATGCATGCAAATATTTGGCTATCGTGTCACATGCACCGAAGTGTGTTTAATCAAAAGCATGTACAACCTCTGAACAGCACATATAGTACGAGTGCCAGACCGAAATGAGATGATTAAGTAAATATCCGTTAGATCAATGCCTAACCTCTACAGGATCGTCCTCAACTTCCTATAGATCCAAACGGTCATATCGTTTCACCTGACCCAATACAACCGTACTCTATAATATGCAAACGGCCGAGTGGAGAGCAATGACACACTTGCCAGCCGCACGCACATACCCAGCGAGCCGCACAATGTCATCGGCAAGGGTCAGATAAGGTTGATAGGTCCAGGTCCTCAACTTGCCAGCGGTTGGTCGATTTGGCAATAGATTCTCGGGTGTGAATGATGAATCGCGAAGACTGGTCCCGTTCGGTCAGTGGTCAGCTCATGAAGTAAATTCATTCTGCTCGCTACTTACGTAGAAGGATGATAACGCCATAAATAACCTGTATCGGCAACGCAAAGTTGGATTCATGGCTGAGAGGAGAAAAAGGTGACATACGGGGAGGTGACGAGTGAGAGAAAGTTATGAAAGACTGAGTTGGCTGCAATTGAGGTAACCAACATCACTATGCCAAAATTGTGCGCAGTTAGTTCTCCTTTGAAGCTCGTGACACGCGCATAGACATACCAAACATACTGTCAGCATAAACAGTAGTGTTTGATACTCTTCATTCATCACGAAAATAGGAGGAGCTACACTTACGAGATGTAGAACAGCACAGTATCTCTCATCAGTATTTGTGATATTGGCTGGAGGCCCTTAATCTCTTCTCTGATATTGGAGATCGTGAAATCTCTGAAGCTCCTAAGCCGCCGCCTCATGCTTGAGAAGACCAGATGTAGCGTACATCCAAAGAGAGCCGCTACAGAAGCATGAGATCTCCAATGGGCCATAGGTAGGGAAAAGACCAACTCGCAACCAGAATTGCTATGATCCTTGTAGTTCATCAGTCATACATATTAAGTGGCATTACTGCGAAGAACTCCTACCAGGTCGGGAGCACCAATGCATTACCTGGATCCTCACTAAGCACGCAGCCTGGCCAAGGAACTCCTGCGGGTGGCTCGACAACTCGGTCCCGAACCCATATAGCTGATAAAATGCCCATTATCAGTTCAACCTAAAGGCCAAAGGTTACTCCATGAGTCCGTGCATCGGAGTTTCAGTGACGAACCAAATATTCAACTATGTCCATTGGTGATCAGTGGGAGCAGGTACACAGGACGAAGCATCTCTCACAGCTGACCACACCGACAAGGAAGAATTGGTACTTTTGGAGCCCCTCTACCCCATAGAAGGTTTGATAGAAAACATTCAGACGCATCACCAAGATGACGTTGACAAGCGTTGTGTACAGTATTCCACCGGCACTAGGCATGAAGATTTGTGAGTGAATTATGCACGGAGATGTCTAAGTGCTCACAAAATGGTATAGTAATAGAAGCCCCTGCAACTATAGATGAAAACGGTCAGTGTCTGCAATGCAAAACCCATATAAATGCCTACAACTGGGATGGTGTCAGCCAATGAGGGACGAAAAGCTTGATCATTTGCTTACAGGTACAGAGAAGCTCTCGTGGTTGTAAACTGGAATGCTATTGGACAGTAGAACAAACGAGGAAGAAAATGCCATACCGGCGAAGTACACACTGGGCGACGTGTGAACATGGAATAATTGCTAGGATCGGGTGACTTACATGAGGTAAAAAAGACCGTAGTAACGACCGAATATACAAACGCCTTGAATTACCATTCGACGCAGCCTGCGGTTCCAGGGAACAAATGCATATGGCTCCTCCGCGTTATGGTAGTACCGCCAGATGAAGGAAATCTGCAAAAAAGATGTCACCTCAGCATGCGAGAGTTTGTCGATTGGGATGTAGTGTGGCAGACCTCTTTGTCGAGGTTAGTTAAGATGTCATAGACAAGGAGCGTTGCAGAAGATACTATGTCAGAGGAGAAGTGAGTACTATGTCGATCGGATGAAGACCAGTTTCATTACGCGTAACATAATTGACGAGACGAATCTGGTAGAGGGTGGTGTACACGACTTGGAGTTCTTGTTCCGGTACGGTGGACATGGTGCCGGACGGAGACCTGTGGTCGATGCGTAGAAATGAAAATTACTTTTTAAGATCTGTTGGGCGCCCATGCGTACTCTACTGTGCATGTGGTGAATCAGGGCAGCCCACAGGGGCGAAGAGCTTCGAGCACCGATCGTCGCCATCCATCTAGCCGCAATCATGACAGTCCACAATGTTACATAATGCACAGGTATATTAATGCTGCTGATACGATCGTGTGACAAGTAATGCACAATTTTTACAAAACTTGGAATAACCACACAACAACAACATTTCATGTGCTCGGTCTTGGACAATATAATAGATGCAGGTCCTGACTACAAGCCCATGTAAAAAAAACACAACAAAATACACTAAAATGCGTGTATAAGTGAGCCCCGAAAATGACAGGTCAAAAAGTATAGGTGTGTCACACCACTCTCCTTAAAATTTCCATGCTACGAGCTACCACAATCTACTCTTTTCTTATTAAAGTACAGTACCTAGTCGAATCGACCTCTGGCAATGTGTCTGCAATGTTATATTGCGAATATCTTGGGTGCCATTACCTATCCAATGTGCATTGCTCGTCACATGATAGTACTTTCTTGCATTTAACATGTCTGGAAACTCGGTAGTATCATGTAGCCAAAACCAACTGCTGAGTAAATTTCCCTTCCGACGTCATGGCAGCACATCCTCCATGCCCCATACCACCTGGCAGAATCATTCAACCATTATTGTGTCTGAGTCTGGAAGATCTGATCGGGACAGACCAAAATTTGCACAGCCAAACCAAACACTAGAGCGCCAATGGAAATTCAGGGAAATATTATCTATCCTATCTGTACTCAATTCCAAAGCTAGTTCGTAGTTCAAGTCAGTTCGCCAGGTCTCTGTCATACCCTGTCATTGTCATTGTGACCCTGACATGGTGCCCCAAAAGTAAGTTGGTGGAAAACATTGTGAGTATTTTAAGTCCAAGTAGCACCATTTGGATGTCGGTCCATCCTCGTCTCACGCATTTCGCTAGCATCTGTCCTGTCAGTGGTTGGGCTGGGCCGAGCGTTAGCTCGGCGGAGGCGAGGCAGGCGGAGCCGCTCGGGAGGGCGGGTCACCTGCTCGCTCTGACAGGACTGCGTAGGCATAGCAGTAGCATCGCGAACAGTATGTAATTATTGGGCTAAGACTAGAACGGTGACTGGGCTAATCTACGGCTGTGGCTATAGTGTGAAGAAGAGGGCGTGGCGGGTGGGCGAAAGGAATGACAATTGGGCGAGGAGCTGGAGTGGGAGCAGCAACGGTCTGTTGGGGGGTGTTTGTCTGATGCGGAAAGGCAGGGTGGCGGTGCTTCAGGCTTGTCGCTCGGATGGACGTTTGCTACCGGAGGTAACCGGCATCTACACTGACTACTGCACTCAAGATGAACTACATGATCACTACAGCACACAAGGGCCCTGAACTCGCTGTGGAAGTCTCTATCTGGCCAGCTCAAAGCCATTGAAATGAACACTTCACATTTCTTCCACTGATTGTAGTGGCCTCGTAAGCTGTCTGACAGCAAGCTTGAGAGTCCAAGCTGCACTTGCAGTGATGAGAAGCGAGGCTGAGCTGAGCCACTAGCACAATTTCGGTCGTCCAAGTCATCCTCCCAGGGCTCGCTGGTATTCCTGCACCGGTCAGAATATGAAATAGCGAGGGTCTGGTATACAATAGCACTCGTTATCAGCAGGTTAGTAGTGTCCTGCACAGACAGCATGAGTGGCTGGATCCTGACCGACTCACTGTCGACAGGATGGAGCACTTACGACGCTACGAGTAACAACAATGCGTTGCACCGGTCACCGAAACTGTTTTGGTAACTCACATCACCACACTATATTAACGGTCCTCATTTTTCCGCCTTACAGCACACGAACTGACCTAGATTCAGAAACTGCGAACCAGTTTTGGAAATGAGCAACTTATGCATGTGATTGATACGTGTAGAGATATCATGGCGTCTGACAAGCTCGTGAGTACTTTCGTTCATGTAACTTGCCCTCTTGGAAGTAAAGCCCGAAAGGTAAAGATGAATGCTAAAGTACGGTTTGTGTTGGGAGCGGACACTATATTTTTTCTATGACTCATCTGTGATCACTCCGGATACCTTCGATATCAACCCTAGTATGTATGCACACTAGACACCACGTGGAAAGGTCCGCAGGGGTGGAGCGAAAGTTGGCGTTTGGACAACAGGGTCGTATGGTAGGCAAGGCTTCAGTGACACAGCTAACACTTGAATAGGGAACATGGCAATTCGTGTGGCCACGCTTCTCTGTACTCAACTGACTTCCTACGACGAGGACGAAGTATGTTTCAGATGACGTGGAACACGGCATGCGCGAAATCCGCCTACAGAAAGATTGTGACCTCGATGGAGAGAGGGCGGTGGGGCGCATCTGCTGCTGGCCGCACCACGTAACTAATACAATTGTCGCTTGAGTGATCCTTCTGCGTTTTCCATGAGTCGCACGTTTGACAGAATATGCTGTGTTGACAAGCGGATACAGTGGGGGTTGACCTGACTTGTCGGTTCGCTGCAAGCTTGATTTTGAACGTGCTCCACCATTGATTTGACAAAGTTCTATGCCTGGGACGACCACACTGAGTATGGTTCATTAACTGTTGTACGTGTCATTTTCAAAGTCTCTGACATTGGAACCCAGCCCTCCGATGGACGTGTAGTCGTGCAGTTTGGGGAATGTTAGAGCTTTCGGGAGGTGAGACGGCAGTTCATGTCCGATGGCGACCGCAGACCGCTTCGCTATAAACAAGTTGATTAGTGACGGTGCGTTGTTCTATATCTCGTAAGCGTAGCTCTTCCATTCTCGTGATGAATGAATTGAACGTCAAACACCACTACATATGCTGACGGTATGTTTGGTATGTCCATAAACGTGTTATGACCGAGTCTCAAGAGAACTAACAGCGTACAATCTTGGGCACAGCGATGTTGGTTGCCTCAGTTGACCATAACTTTCTCTCACTCGTCACCTCTCCGCACGTCATCTTTCTCTTATAGTCATAGATCCAGGATCATGCAACTTTACATTGCCGACACAGGATAGTTATGGTGTTATACTCCTGCGCAAGTAAAACGAGAAAATTCGCTTCACGAACTGACCAAAGCGCTGACTGAGCGGGGATTAGTCCTCACGATTCATCATTCACACCCGAGAATGTATTGCCAAATCGGCTGGCCGCCTTCAAGTCGAGCAACTACACTTATCAACACTATCTCATGGTCACCGATGACATTGAGCGGCTCGCCAATGTATGCAAGGATGTGCGTGGGGCTGGCAGGTGTGCCGTTGTTCTCCAGTCGCACTTGTGCATATTATAGAGTACAGTTGTGTCGGGTCAAGTGAAACGATGCCACCACTTGAATCTGTGGGAAGTTGAGGGGGGTCCTGTAGAGGTTCAGGTGCTGACCTTCACGGATACCTACCTGATCATCTCATTTCAGTCTGGTGTTCGTACTACATACACGCTGTCCAGTGGTTGTGCGTGCTTTCGTTTAGACGCACTTCGGCGTGTGTCATACAACAGCTAAGGTGGTAGAATCTAAGTGGTGACCGGTGAAAAGATAAACAATCCAGCTTCGTCTCGCGCATGTCGCACTAAGGCCTGACGGTAGGTTGGGCTGGGCCGAGCGATAGCTCGGCGGAGGCGAGGCAAGGTGGAGCCGCTCGGGAGGGCAGGGTCACCTGCTTGCTCTGACCGGCAGGCAGTGCACGATAGCGGATAGAGGCTGTGGTGCTTACTATGCATTTGTAGCCGTTACTTAGGGACAGTAAGAAATGACACTTGAATTTTATTTTAATTACGGACAGGTGCTTATGGTATATGTAAAAGAGAGCGCGGAGGGTGGGCGAAACGAGAGGGCGAGGGGGTCGAGAGGGGGAGGCGATGAGCCTACTGGCGAGTGGCCGTCCGAAGAAAGAGGCGGTGGGAAAGTCAGGCTGCCGCTCAGCTGGACATTTGCTACCGGAGGGAGCCGGCACCTGCACTAAGCCAACATATCTCAGAGTGGTGTTGACGTGTCGATGCAAAATCGAACCGTGGACTTCTCGCCGACTACCACACGCCTGTTATGTATTCAAATAATCACGTTGTTCTTGTTTTCCGTCAAAGTTTGCACTCTCCGACTTTTATTGACTCGCCAGGCATCGTCTGAAAGTTCAAGTATAATTAGGACACAACAAAATACAAAGAAAACTACGTCGAGGATTGCCCCGCGGGCTACGCTTGATCCTACTTGTATAATTGCCACCCAGATAACCAGAGCCAGAGTGGCCAAGAATACTTCGAGCAGAGCGGCTGGCGGAGGCAAGTCCATTTCGTCGCTGAGCTCATTCACAGCAGTCTCGTCGTCTCCGGTCCATAGTACCGTATTGACATCTGTCCCCGTGGGCATGTTTGAATGGCCAGCAAACCAAGTACATAAGTTCCCTACCTCTTGTGTTGCAACGAATAACTGACACAATTAGTTTTGTTATCTTTGCCATAACGGTGGGAATGTCTTCCGTTGTCATTCCTGTCCGCGGGTATTGTGCGAGCGCTGCCTGGGTTTGGCGAAGATAGAGTCCAGCATCTGCGTTATTGATGTTAATTTCACATGTCCCGGGTGCCACGAACTAAGAGAGCGCGATGCAAAGTGCAAAGGGTCCCCCTACCATGTGAGCCATGCATTATGATTGTTCTAGTTTAAGCTAACATCAATTCAAGCCCTTCACGCGAAATGTGAATGGGATTTCCGTGTCGGTGTTCGACAAACCCATTTTTATGACCAGTGTCTGCGGAAGGTCATTGACGTCGCAGGTATGCGCCGACTCCGTACTCATTCTCCATCTCGTATGTGTGGGGGGGACGTTCGAGACTCTCCCCAAGCTCGTCCACGCTACCCTCGAAGAGTACCGCACCGCAGAGTCGCTGCTGTACGAAGAAGTCATTTTTGATTTCGGGACAAGAAGAAAACTCGCTGCGTGGACGAAGAAGGCGGCGCAGTTGGGCGCGAAGCTAGCTGCACGGAACTTTGGGCGCAAAATAATCTTTGTCACAGTTCATAGTGAGATGAGGCGCGGTGACTTGTTTGCGGGAAAGGACGAGAACGAGAAGGATGTCACTGACAGTTGATGATGTATGTATAGAACGAACCTGATATATTTTATTTCTAACTCTTTCCAGTTTATGAACTTTCTCTTCAGCGCGCCGCTCGATGAATTAGTTTTCGCGTCCACCCTTTACATGCTCGCGTGTGGACATGTCGTTGAATTTGAAGAATCGTTTACAGCATTGAAGCAATCCATCGTACGGTAAGTCATGTTCGATTTACTTGCCAAGAATATAGCTAACACCCAACAGTCTCAGCCCGGAATAAACCATTGTTTTCACCGCTCCGGAATTCATCAGCGCTTTCGGCAAAATGTTCGCCGTCGGATATACGATCCATGTCCTTATTCAAGGAAACAGTTTCCTCGATACTGTTCTCGACCTACTGAATCTTGGGTCGACCTGCGGATGCACACCGATGTCCTACTTTTCCATGTAAGAGACTTCCTTCCCCCGAGAGCGCCGTTCGGTTCCAGGGCTCGCGCTCCGAACGCTTCCAACATCTCTCCCCCTCCTGTCATTGGCTACAGGTACTCATGGTGCCATAGCCATCAGCGTCCATGGGGCAAGTCGCTCCCTATAGGATGTCCGGGGTGTAGCGCCATCCGCTCATGGAGCCGCTCGAAGCGTAATTCAAAGGGTATACACCCAGAGGGCCGAGTTACCGCTTGTTTGTCGTGTAGGTATAGGTGCACTCGGAGCCCCTGCAAGGTACATATGAGATACGGGGTGACACTGACTCGGGTTGGATCGTGTATTCAATGGCTCTTTGACCTCTTTAGGACTTCGCGCTGTTTTCGGCGTCCAATACCTATTTGTTTCATCCATTTGATACTAGAACGCCGTCACTGACGGCAGGCACCTGGTTTACTGAGCCTGGCATGTCACAGGCAACATCGGCGAGTACGTGTTTCGGAGCGTGGAAAGTCGGCATCACATATATTGCCTTAACTTTTCTTTGGCAAAGTGCAGTGCTGTCAGGTTTGTGATTCTCCTGGAGCGAGGGACAGGTCGACAGCGAGCACTGCAAGCTTCAAACGTTCGCAATGGCATCTCGGAATCAACATTCTTCTTCCACACTGTTGAAACTGTTTGCTAACAGACCGAAAGACACAGCGCTAAGCGTTGCTGAGGCAATGGAAGTCGTACGCGGTTTTCCTGACCTCCACAGCGAAGGACATTGCTGAGGCGATGATGGCGCAGAAGACTAACTCGACGGCGGAAATACGAGCTGGTCACCAGGCTAGGCGAAAAGAGGGGAAGTAGGTCCGCTCATCTACGAGAACGTCCAACCTTGCCATTCTTTGCGTTGCTGTACAGGGTGTCGCGAAGTGATATCCATACCCACTGCCGCCACTGATGATAGGTCATGGGTGTGGTCAATGCTTTAACGGGTTCTGGCAGTATCGCTGCACCTGGGAAAGGTGTGGTTGATAAGGTGCCCTGAAGCTGTGCGTAGGAATAGAGGGTAAATTCAGTGTTATAGTTGGGAGGGTAGGGCTTCGGGGTGCAGGTGGGCCGTGAACTAGGCCGAGCCGAAAGGATTGCCTTGGGGATTGTGTATGTGTTTAGTGTGTTTGCGGTTCTCGTTCCGGTGCGGGGGACTGTCGGATGGGGTTGTTGATAGGGGAAGATCGGGGGGTTGACGTACCTGGGTAAGGCGTCACTGAAGACTCTGTGATCGAGTCGAAGGGAAGTGATAACCTGGGTCCCGGACGACATACCGCGACCCTTGATCCTGGCCTACTAGCAGATCATGGCACGGAGCATGAATGAGAGTATTTAGACGAACCTGGAAGAAGTTGAATATATACAACACAAGAAGAACCTGAGAAAGTCAACCAGGGCAAGGATGAGGAAGGGAAGACACTGGATCGTTCGTTGTTCTCATCGTCGAGCTGTCAGGATGGATCAGGCAAAAATAAAATCGGAACTACACCTCCGCATTTGCATAAACATGTATTTCAACTATGTAGATGCAGTATAGGGCCTATCGACTTGTGAGCTATCTGAAAAAAACTCCAAAATTCGGATTGGTATTCGCACGACGCCATGAAAACAGCCCGTCGTTGGCAGGCTAGGAGTGATAGTATGTTCGAGGTAACTCCGAAGAAAGGAGTGTGTAACCTGCGCCGCCACATTTTCTACAGTCCTTCAGCAGTTTTCGTGTTAACATGCTGCGATTTTTGTTTTTGTGGCGTACGTTCTGACTATACACGCAAGGGAGTCAACTTTTCCCCAGGTACTGTATCCAAGTTTTGAGGAAGCACTGGTACGCACGCGTCCGTGGTGATCCGTACTGTGTCTGTTCTCGATATGGTTAGGCTGGGTATGTATGTGGGACCCACTGGTCATCGCCTGTGGGAGTGATTTCTTTGACTAGGTGGTACCCGGAGCTTATCACCCCATAGCATTTTATGTCCTATTTTTGACTGCTTATCTCTGACAGAACCATGCCGGATCACTGGGGGCATATTTAAGCAGGAGCGTACAATTTGCTTTTGGTCTCCTCACCCGCCATGAACTAGGCTCAGCTGAGGTCGCTTGTAACTGACAGCATGGCACCTTCCGATATTTCTTCGGTCGTGGATCAACCGGCTCCAACCGGACCCCCAAGCACTGATTCCTTCCCAGCAATTCGCAAGCACGCGACAACCGTCCGCAACAAGGTCACTACGAAGCATGGTTGGCTCGGGGATTATGACTATGTATGGCTTTGCTCACCGACGTTGCCATTCTCCATCTCCGGGAATAAAATTGCGCGCAGACCACCTCCATTCTATAGAGTAGATGCAGAGCTTCCTCTACTACTCGCCATGGCATGTGGGTTGCAGCACGCACTCGCAATGCTTGCAGGTCTAATTACACCACCAATCATGTTTGCGAGCTCACTAATGCTCGATGCGCAAACTTCCCGCTTATATGATATCTGCCTCTCTCATTGGTTGTGGTGCGTGACCCGGTGTTTTACATAGGAGAGACCAGCCATTCGCTCAGCATTGTGAAATGCAACAGGTATTCTCAGCCTTGTGCAGATGTCACGCGTTAAACTATGGAAGGGATACTATCTTGGAACGGGCCTTTTATCCGTTGTCGGGACGAGTTTTGCAACACTGAGTACCGCGAACGCCGTAAGTCGTTTGTCTTCGTTTAGAGTACCCTTGCGAACAGCACTACGGAACAGATCTTCGATACAATGTATAATGACGGAACTTGTCCTTCTACTGTGGCTTCCGACGGTACTGTCACTCGAGGCGCATGCCCAGACGCGTACGGTATGGTCCTTGGTGAGGCCTTTGACTCCCTTCTGCCTTCAAGATAGCGAATTTGATGATTATAGGGACATCGTTGATATGCTCATTCCTTGAGATCGGCCTTTCGTTCATCCCATCACGTACTTTGCAACGTATCTTCCCTCCGATTGTCACCGGTAGGTGCCCAGTGTTGTTTGCGACATCGCACGCTGAATGCGTTGTGCAGGTACGGTGGTCGTTATGATTGGAGCATCTCTAATCGGTACTTCTGGTATTCTCAATTGGGGTGGAGGATCAAACGGTTGTCAAACACGTCCCACGAGTGGACTATATCAACTTTGTCCAACCATCAATTCACCACACGCCCTCCCGTGAGTCTCAACTAGTCCTTGCATTCCTACGTTATTATAATGAAGATGGCTTTAAGATGGGGTTCACCTGATTTTATCGGTCTCGGGTTTCTCTCGTTCGTGAGCATTATCCTAACCGAACTCTTGGGGTCTCCGTTCTTGAAGAATGCGAGCATCATTGTCGGTCTCGCTGTTGGTTGCATCGTCGCTGGCGCGGCCGGCTATATTGATGGTAGCTCCATCAAGTCTGCACCAGCTATTACCTTCTTGTGGTAAATTCGACTTTCATAAATCTTGAGAGCCAGTCTCACCACCTTCAGGGTTCATACGTTCAAGATTCGCGTGTACCCAGCTGCAATTTTGCCAATGCTGGCTGTTTACGGTGCGTTACTGAACATCAACGTGTTCACCCGAAGCCTGATATCTTTCCGCGAGGCAAGTGTCTGTGGCCATGGAGGCCATCGGTGATATTACGGCCTCTGCAGAAGTGTCTCATTTGAAGGTCGACGATGAAGAGTTTGACTCGAGGGTCCAAGGTGGCGTTTTGGTATGTTTCCCGCATTCTTCCCAAGATGATAATATTTGTTGACTCCAGTATCAGAGCGACGGCCTGGGGGGTTTCTTTTCTGCGTTATTCACGGTGACGCCTCTGTCAATATTTGCTCAGGTGAGTCTTTTCCCTCCATGCTGAGACCGTGTGAACGATGCCTTTGTAGAACAACGGTGTAATCGCCTTGACCCGTTGCGCGAGCCGCACTGCGGGACGGTGGTGTTGTGTCTTCCTCATCCTCTTTGGAGTTTTTGGGAAAATATCGGGTCTTTTCCTTGCCAGTGAGCGGCTCCTAGCTGAAAGGTCACCTTTTCCGTGCTTATTTCTTATCTGTAGTCCCTAATCCCGTCCTCGGGGGTGTCACGACTTTCTTATTTGCAAGTGTAGTCGTATCCGGCTTCCGTGTCCTTTCTTATGTCCATTACACCCGCCGTGATCGGTTCATTCTTGCAGCAGCCATGTCATTTGGCTTTGGCAATTTGCTCGTCCCGAATATATTTACCTACCTTTTTCAGGGTGTCAGAAATCCAAATTCAGGGCTTCAGGGCCTGTTCGATTCTATCACCATCATCTTGAGCACGCCATGTGAGTATCGAACCTTCACTGTGCCTATCTGTGACTAATCCATCCCTATCGCAACAGTTTTGTTAGCAGGACTGGTTGCTGTGATTCTTAACCTTATCTTGCTACAGGAGGCGACGGAGGTTGAAGAAAACGAGGTACGGGACAGTGTAGAACATGTCGTTGGGGATGTAGAAGCCGCCCATGATAAAGCTAAGGCATGACTGGTGCAAGTCACGCAAAAATCAACGACTTCGCGGCAGAAAATGACTGACTGTAGTGAAGGACTAGTGCCGAATATGATCTATCAATACTCTTTATGTGAAGCGTGACGGGTGCGTTGCTTGTCGGTGCTGCAGATCACACGATCGCAAGGTTGTGGATGGCCTCAACAACAGGGTGACAATTTGGTCCGGTCAAAATGGGCCGTTGAAGTGATCGAGCCCAACCCTAGCGTCCCATCCGCCCTATGAGAGGTTCACGATTGGCAGCTGCATCTAAATATACGACGCGCAGTGTGTTACCTCGTAACCTCGAGCATACCATCTCCAGTGCAACAGTTCTGGAAGACCACGTGAGCTGCACCTGACCACCTCTCTCCTAGCCTACTAATGACGGCCGGACTGTTTTCACGATGCATACAAATACTTGGCTATCGTGTCCCATACACCGAAGTATGTTTAAACAAAAGCATGTGCAACTGTCCGAATAGTATGTATAGTATGAGTAGAAGACCGGAATGAGATGATTAGGTGAATGTCCGTGAGATCAATGCTTAACCCTACAGGATCGTCCTCAACTTCCCATAGATCCAAGAGGTCATATCGTCCCACTGGACCCAATACAATCGTACTCTATAATATGCAGAAGTCCGACCGGAGAACAATAACACACCTGCCAGCCCCACGCACATACCCAGCGAGCCGCGCAATGTCATTAGCAAGGGTCAGACAATGCTGATAGGTCTAGGTCCTCAACTTGCCAGCGGTTGGTCGATTTGGCAATAGTTTCTCGGGTGTGAATGATGAATCGTGAAGACTGGTCCCGTTCGGTCGGTGGTCAGTTCATGAAGTAAATTTACTCGGCTCGCTACTTACGCAGAAGGAGTATAACGCTATAACTAACCTGTATCGGCAATGCAATGTTGGATTCACGCCTCAGAGGAGAGAAAGGTGACATACGGGGAGGTGACGAGTGCGAGAAAGTTGTAGTAGACCGAGTTGACCGCAACTGAGGTAACCAACAGCACTATGCACAAAATCGTGCACAGTTAGTTCTCCTTTGAAGCTCGTGTCACGTTCATAGACATACCAACCATACTGTCAGCATAAATAGCAGCATTTAACTTTTCGTTCATCACGAAAATAGGAAGAGTTGCGCTCACGGGATATAGAACAAGAAACCATCACTAATCAGCAATAGTGATGTTGGTTGGAGGCTCTTAATCTCTTCTTTGATATTGGAGATCGTGAAATCTCTGAAGCTCTTAAGTCGCCACCTCATATTTGAGAAGAGCAGATGTAGCGTGCATCCAAAGAGAATCGCTACAAAAGCATAAGATCCCCAATGGGCCATAGATAGCAAAAAGGACCAACTCGCAACCAGAATTGCTGTGATCCTTCTGGTTCATCAGTCATACTAGGAGGCGTGACTGCAAAGAATTCTTACCAACTTGGGAGCACCAGCGCATTACTCACGGTCCCACTAAGCAAGCAGCCTGGCCAAGGAACTCCCGCGGGTGGCTCAATAACTTGGTCCCGAACCCATATAGCTGAAAAGATGCCTATTATCAGTTCAACCTAAAGGTCGTAGGGGTTGTTCCGTGAGATTGCGTGGCGTAGTTTCAGATGCGAGGTATGACGAACCAAATATTCAACTATATCCATCGGTGGCGATCAGTGGGAGCAAGTACACAGGACGAATCATCCCTCACTGATGACCACACCGGCAAGGAAGAATTGGTATTTTCGGAGTCCCTCCATCCCATAGAAGATTCGGAACAAAACGTTCAGACGTATCGTCAGGATAACATTGACAAGTGTCGTGTACAGTATTTCACCACCGCTAGACATGAAAACTTGTGAGTGAAATATGCACAAAGATGTTTCAGTGCTCACAAAATGGTATAGTAATAGAATCCCCTGCAACTACAGATGAAAAGGGTCAGTGTTTGCAATGCAAAACCCATATGAATACCTACAACTGCGATGACATCAGCCACTGAGGAACAAAAGCTTGGCCATTTACTTACAGGTATAGAGAAGCCCTGGTGGTTGTAAACTGGGACGCTATTGGACGGTAGAACAAACTAGGAAGAAAATGCCATACCAGCGAAGTACATACTGTGCGAGTTATGGACATGGAATAGTTGCTGGGATCGGGTGACTTACATGAGGTAAAAAAGACCGTAGTAACGACCGAATATGAAGAGGCCTTGAATTAGCATTCGACGCAGCCTGTGGTGCCAGGGAACATATTCATATGGCTCATCTGCGTTATGGTAGTACCGCCAGATGAAGGGAATCTGCAAAGGATGTTATCTCAGCATACGAGAGTTGTCGATTGGGATGTAATGTGGCAGACCTCTTTGTCGAGGTTAATTAAGATGTCGTAGGCAAGGAACGCTGCACAAGATACTATGGCAGAGGCGAAGTGAGTACTGCGTCGATTGGATGAGAACCAGTTTCATTACGCGTAACATAATTGACGAGACGAATCTGGTAGAGGGTGTCGTACACGAATTGAAGTTCCTCTTCTGGTACGGTGGACATGGTACCAGAGGGGGAGGGGACCTGTGGTCGATGCGTAGAAATGAAATTTAATTTGAAGGTCTGTTGGGCGTCCAAGCATGGTTCTGTACATGTTGAATCATCAGGGCAGCCCACAGGGGCGAAGATTTTCGACTGTGGACTGATTGATCCAGCCGCAATCATGACAGTCGACAGATTACATGATACACAGGGTAAGTTGCTGCTGATACATTCTTGCATTCGACATGAAGGTAACAGTAAGTATTGCAATTCAACTGAGCTTTCAAGCAACCAAGCCCATCTGAAAACTCGGCAGTATGTGCATGGCTCAAAACCAACTGCTGAGCAAATTTCCCTCCCGACGGCAGCGCATTCTCCGTACCCCGTGCTACCCGGCAGAATCATTCAACCGTAATTGCGTCCGACTAGAGCGTCAATGGAGATTCAGGGAAATATAACTTATTCTATCTGAATCAGTGATGCCGCAGGGAAGCTTCAGGCTCGGCGGGTGCAGCCGGTTTACGTACAATGAACTTAAAGTCAGAGTCCCCAAGAACCCCCTATTCCTTTCGGAGAAGACGGTCACAGGTGCGAGAGAAATACGTGATACGATAGGCGGGGTGGTCTATGTGATGGATACGTGCATAGATATCGTGACGATTCTGACAAGCCCGCAGGTATTCACGTTCAGCTTGCCCTCTTAAAGGCTAAGGCGCCAAGGGTAAATTTCAGTGCTAAAATACAGTTTGTGTTCGGAGTGGACACTTGGCGGACACTACATTTTTTCTATGCGACTCATCTGTGGTCACTCCGGATAGCTTCGATATCAACGTCCAACCTGGTATGGATGCACACCAAATATTACGCGGAAAGGTCGGCAGGGGTGGAGCGAAAGTTAGCGTTTGGACAACAGGGTCGTATGGTAGGCAGGGTTTCAGTGACACAGCTAACGCTTGGATAGGGAACATGACAGTTCATGCGGCCACGCTTCTCTGTATTCAACTGACTTCCTACGGGGAGGACAAAGTATATCTCAGATGACGCGGAACACGGCACGCGCGAGATCCGCCTACAGAAAGATTGTGACCTCGATGGAGAGAGACCGGCGGGGCGCATCTGCTGCTGGCCGCGCCACGCGACTAATACAATTGTCACTTGAGCGATCCTTCTGCGTTTTCAATGAATCGCATGTTTGACAGAATAGGCTGTGTTGACAAGCGGATACAGTGGGGGTTGACATGTCACGTCGACCAGCCGCAAGCTTGAACTTGAAAGTGCACCACCATTTGATTTTCACAAAGCCACTCTATGCCTGGGACGACCACACTGAGTATGGTTCATTGACTGTTGTGCATGTCATTTTCAATATCTCTGACATCGGAACCCAGCCCTCCGAAGGACGTGTAGTCACGCAGCTTGGGGAAAGTTAGAGCTTTCGGGAAGTGAGACGGCAGTTCATGTCCGACGGCGACCGCAGACCGCTTCGCTATAAGCCCGTCGAAAGAGCGCCATGTGCAGCACGAGTCCCGAACAACGCGATTTGAATGCAGCCGACCTCGCGGACTCACTCCGTACAGCTAAGCTATGATGATCGTTACGGGAACGAGGGCGAAGAAAAGGATATGTAGTAACCTGAAGAATTGTCCAGTCGAGTCCAGTAACTAACACTTCGCCTCTTCTCAAGCTGCATGCCCCAGGTATCCCTTCAATACAAATAAGTTTATATAATCGGATGCTCGAAGACCTTGAAGTACGAGAGTAATACCGTAAAAATCTGCCCGGGAAGTCTTTGGAAATGCAGCGTGACCACGGTGGTTTCAAGAAGCCGTACAAGAAGCACTCGGCGGATGATGCAAGTGCTTGACTGTGCATTCCATTTATACCGAAAAAAAAACCATTCCTCGCCGCGCTTCGAGCGTTGAGTGAGTTCAGCGTTAACATTTCCTGTTTAGTGGAGTCATACCGCGCTGCGCATATACTGGTTCCTTGATTATATATAATAGAGCGTTTCGGTCTCGTGAATAAGTGAGTGATCAAAGGTATGTCTTGCAGTTACCAGGGTGACATGTCGTTAGGCAATGAACAGTTGGGAGCACACCAAGTATACACAATTACGGTGTCGTGGGTTGATCGGAGTACAATGACATATCATATTACAGCGTTCTATTCAAGGATCTGAACAGAGGCGGGGTCAGTAAGGGAGTGCTCAATTCAAGAATCAAAGGTATCAGACAAAATAAAAATGATTCCGGATAGACAGTTATCCTCATCGACAGAGTCTCCGTCGAGGGAGTCTGTATTGTCATCGTCTTCGCCAAAAGCCGAGCGACACTCACCCTAACGATTCTTGAAGTAGTCCAAAAGAACGTGCAAACCCTCACTCTCAACGCCATAGTCCTTAACGACAACACAAGTACACCCAACGATCTTGCGCGGGTTTCCCTCCTTGTCGATCTTGCACAGACCGGCCCAGGTACCAAGCACCTTCGCGTCACCGACTTTGATCAAGTTGATCTTGTGTTCTGCGCAGAGAGCTTCGATGAGCTTGATGTATTCGGCTTCCGTGCAAGTTTCAACGAGGACGCAAAGGTGAGCTTGACGTTTGTCCAGTGCCTTGGCACATTCGCGAAGACCACGGGCGAGGCCATCGTGTACGAGGGCGTTCTTCAGGACTTGCTGGAGGACCGTTAGTAAGGGGACGTCGTTACCCGTTGGTTTATGAGGTTACCTGAAGTGCTTCCTCGACGGACATTTTGCCGCCCCTTGGGGCGTCGGTAGTGATCTCGACGGCGGCCTCCTCTTCGACTTTGATTTCCTCTCCGGCGTCAGACATCCTTTTGCCAATCAGTGTCGGTCAGCCCCAGTACCCGATGAACGTACTTTTTGTTATTTTAGTGTGAGGCGATGTCGTCGTCCGCTGGTTGATCTGAGGAAAATTAGAGTTCAGCCATCCGCAAAGTTTGACGGAACTTTGAATCTCCGACTCGGGATTTTCCGGGGCATGCCTCGCCCTGTCCCCTGTCCAGGCCTGCTTCTCTGATTGTCCAACTCTTCCGCTAATACAAGACAAGAAAACATGGTTTGTATGTTCACTTGCAAACGAGATAACACCGTCGACTCGTCATTATTAGAGTCTCGCATTTGTCAACGCGCTAGAGTGTAAAGAACGTACGCGTCGTCCGATCCGTCACTGCACGCCCCAACGGTAAATCGAACTTCTTTCCAGCCCACGCCGACGAAATATGGAGCATTGCATGGACATCCAACGATACCATAGTGTCTGGGTCCGCAGACGGAACTGTCAAGCAGTGGGACTCTACGTCAGGTCAAGTATCACTATCTCGTCCACCGCATAACCTCGCAGTCGTGTCGCTGTCGGTATCCCCGGACGCGCGGTTCGTCCTGTATAACAGTCTCGAAGGGACGACGTGTCTGTGGGATATCCAAGCAGATAAAATCGTGGGGAAACACGAGAGTTATGACCGCTCGGTGGTCGATGGTGCGGAGCCGTGTAAGTCCCGTTCGCTATTTGGACATGGAGACCAGCAGGTACTTTCGGGGTAACGAGTTTCTCTCCCTCTGCTGTGTGTGTACATGCATCAGCATGGTCGGTATCCCTCAACCCGAAGGGTGGCACATACGCTGCCAGTAGCGGATCAGGAAACGTGACTGTTTTCTCTGCGAACCCCGATTCATTTGGCATCAAACAAGGCACCCTCATCAGTGGTAAATCCAAGTACGGTATGGTATGCAAATATGTACGTGCCTTTCCATCGATAGCCTCTTCGCCTTGCTACGTAGATAGCATACACACGCTTTATATGCATGTGCTACCGGCTGATCTTTTGATTTACCCTGCATATAGAGCCCGGATGGTCGCCGAATAGGACTCTCGCTCGAAAATGGCCAGCTCTTCATATTTGATGTCGACTCTCAATCACTTACAGCTACGTATTCCTCGCACGCAATGACAGTTCGCGACTTCGCATGGTCATACGATAGCAGTGTCGGTATTGTGTTTCTTTACCTTGTTACCGTTCACCACTTGACGTTTGCGACCCGCAATCGCTTTACCCAGTTACTTCTCACGGCGTCTGACGACAAGCGCCTCACGCTGCATGACGTCCGATTGACGCCATCTGGAAAACCAGGATCTGGGGCTGTAGCTACGCTGGTTGGGCATTCATCGTGGGTGCTCAGTGCGGATATATCGCCAGATAGTCGCCTTGCTGTATCTGGGTAAGTATTGACCTTCCTTCCTATCCATTTCCCCTCACAGCCTCTCACTTCATTCGCTCGTCTCGCATCGCTTACATCTCACATCTCATGGTATGCACACAGTTCTGCGGATAAGTCTATCAAAGTATGGGATCTCTCTGCCCGGTGCGCAGTGTCGACCACCCACGAGTCCGGTGAGATTTGGAGCGTGTCGTGGCGCCCGAAACCAGCTGCGCCGGGGTCAGCAGGCGCGTTTGTGAGTGGTGGGCAGGACGGGTGTGTGAGGTGGTGGAGGAGCGCTGGGGTTTCGGGGCTGTGAAGTATGTACTTTTTCTTCTGGAGGTGTTGGTCAGTCAGTTTTCTGTTAGCTGTTGTTGTTTGCTCAGATGTCCTTCCTGATGTTCAGCATCGCTGATCGATCATGCCCACATGGGGGATTTTACATAGACATAGACAACCTGCTCGGCGATTGATGTGAATCAGGCAGGCACCTCCAAACAAGATTCCAATCAGAGATGAGGAACGCCAATAGCAATCAGAAACATACTTGAGCAGCAGAAGTTAAGATTTCCAGCGCAATTCTGGGCACAGGGGGGACCTGGCACGTGCGTAAGATCATTGCATGGATGGAAAACCGAAGCACTTACATGGGGGTTTGATACCTATCGCTGAAGTCTTCGGCCTTGATGAATATGTCATCCGCTTCACCGATGTAGTCGATAGCGTCCTGGCTGATAGGCGAGATGAGATCCAAGCCGTCAAACCCTGTGACTGCGGCATCGACGACCCTGCCAGCCGATCCCAGTGTGGGTTCTGGTTTTCCTTGGTCGGTTACCTGTTGAGCTCGTTCAACAGAATCATTCACATATCATAGTATGTATATCGAGGTCATAGATCACATACGTCCTGAGTTGGAGCTGTCGCTCGTTGCCTGCCAGCGCCCCCCATCAGTATTGGTGTCTGCAGTCTTCGTGATGGATCATTCCACATCCTCACAGTAGGTTGGTTCCTGTCATGACGGTGGTTGAGTGCTTTCTTCAATCGACAGAAGAAGCGCTTCATTCTGGCGAGCCCTTCCCTGAGACGGTGGGCCCGCTGTTTCAGGTGTAGAGGAACCGCTCCAAGCCCAGGCGTGGAGTTGGATGAGGGCTTCACAAGTCCCAACAGACGATGTCTCTTTGACGGTGTTGTTCTGGCCATTGAAAAATGAGTACTTTGTTCAAGTTTGCGGGTTTGGTTCAAGGTTGAAGGTGTACCCAGGAAGTAGCGAGAGACGTTGAAATGAGGCGCCATCAACACGTTGCGGTCGGCGCACGGACCACTGCCGGACCCAGTATGTTGTGATTCGTCCCAGCGGTTCCGGGGTATGCTTACAATGTTTCTAAAGAGGTGTTCTGGTTCATGAGACATTTCTAGCACACTAGTTACATAGACGGCGAGATCTTACACTTGACACTGGAAGATTAGCAGCTATGTAACTGATTTCATTCAAAACACTGAATACATACAAACCAAAAATTACAAACGAATGCAAAACTGCGGATGGGTAGATAGGCTGCATATAGATGGAAGGATACTGTGAGTGGACGCGTATGGATGCGACTTAGAACGAAGAGAACGAGGAGGAAGGGGAGGGACACGGGGAGCGAGTTGCAATACAAATTGTCCTTGCGAATGAGAACGGGATTAAAGGCAAACATATAAAGTCGCGCACGACGGGCTTCACGGGTGGGGGGTGGTACAGGTATCCATCCTTCGTGTGGAGGCAATGAGATGGTATTCGAGTACACGTTGGCCACCGCCGTTGCCAGTTATCATTGTGATTGCAAGGTCTGCGAGAGAGTGGGGGTGTGCAGGTGACTTTCTATGGACAAGAACTGCATGATCGCATCAAAGACCTGCGTCGCATGGCTGACAATGATATCATGTCCAGCGTCATCGACAGTGAGATGTGAGGTGACACGAATGTAAGAATCTTGGAAGCATATTTATAGGAACAGCGTTATCGACCGTACCCTGTGGGAGAGGACCGCACGTGTCATATGAGCTACGTCGGCGGAAGAAAGAGGGGAACATACGTGAATCAGGAGAACCTGTGTCGATGAATTGAACAGCGCTGTAAACGAGCTTTCCAGTCCCCGTACTGGGCTATCACCTAGGCTATACACAACAGCTGTATTGAAGTATGAATGATGAGCGAATTGCAACCAGACAATCTTGACACGGTCCAGGTCAGGGGTCAAAGTGTGCAAGTGTATGCGTGGGCACATACCTCTTGGATAGGATCAACGTTCGTCTGCGATAAGCTAAACGAGTCGGAAAGGCGGCGCATGTATTGCTATCGACTTATCAGCGTCAGAAATATTGATGTAGTGGATGCAGACTTACCTGGAAAGGTGGGAGAGATGAGACGCTCTGTATGAGCGGTGATGACATGAATTTAGCTGTTCTGGATATATCGTTCTACTGGTGCAATTTGGGTGCAATCTATCGGACGGCGCTGTGAAGTAATTGGGATGCGAGTAACCTCGTTGATGACAGCAAAACTATCGGAGAGATTTGTCCGTTCACCAGTGGAGGAATTTGGGTTGCGAATGCAGCTACGATGCCACCTCCATAGTCCAGTCCATGGGTCAGATTGGCATGTATGTGGAATGAACACTACCATTGAGAGGCCAACTATATGAGCGTTGTACCAGTTAAATCAACAAGGCGAGATGGGTCGTATATAGGGATACGTCGTAGGTAACTTGTGGTGCGTCGGAGTATCCCCTGCCGTGGAGATCTGAGGGGAGTTGAGAATGTACTCGACATGAATTGCCAGCATTTACCGTAGAGAAGTACATGATAGCCGGTGATGCAAGAACAGGAGCGATGTTTTTCCATATGACAGCGGGAATGGAGAGCCCGTGTATGAGGACCATCTGAGCTAGGTGTGAGCGGGTGTCTCGTGATCGTCGATCCTACCTTGTCGCCATCTTCCGGACCCATCAACCAGCATCGCATCCTGCGCCATGCCAAGTGTGAATGTGTGAGAGCACCGCAGTGAATGGGGCGTACTTACTCTGCCATGAGGAAGGGCGACATAAGCACTGAGCGAGCCATGCACTTGGGTGGATAAGGAAAGCTAAATCAGCAGATACGCTAGACACGCAGACACTGAGACCCCCGCCGCAAGCAGATACCGAGAGTCGACAGTAATGAGAGCATACTATTAAACGAGTTTGGGCACTTCCGAGCAGGCGCCCAACACGAGGTCTGGATTCATTCAGCCCCACGGCTTCAAGCCTGCTCCAATGAGGGACTCCTTCCAGGATGTGTACGCAAAATATCTGCAACACTGCCGACTATGGCTACCCTCTGCGGATGCCAGAGCCAATGAGCACGCTCCCGCAAAATTACCAAGATGATGGACTTCAGATCGGAGATGTTGGCACTGTTGACAGCAGGGGCCAGTTTGACGTCTTATTCAACATTTTCAAACGTAGCGACAACCCTCTCCATGATTCTCGCGGAGTCCCTAAGAACTTCCAGCCTGTTCAGCTCGGCGATGTCAAGTACAGTGACAATCCAATATCTCCTGGCCCAATCCACTCTCATGGTATACAACGAATCCTTCAGCCCGGAAAACCGAGGTGCCCCTCAGTGCGATCGTCAGTATACCGTTTTCTTACTGACAGTGTTGCGTCAGGCCAGCAGATTATGAATTCGACACATCCACCGCTGCCGGGGCTATCCTTATACTGCCGCAGGGCGCTGTATCCCTCGAACTCTCATTACCAGACCGGCTTCGCGAAGTGGCAAGGAAGAGCGCGCTTGACTGGTTTGAGTTTGCCAAAAAGCACTACGGCGTCGAGCATCTCGATCGCTCCCTTTATCTCGTCACAGGCTTTTACAAAGCTCGGTCCTGGTCTCTCGGGTCATTCAACAACCCTACAGATGCCACGGGAAAAATTCTGGCCCGAAGGGATGACAACAATCACAACATATACCTACTAGAATTCACGTTTCCTGCCGATTGTCGCCACCGCGACTGTGGCGACGACAGTGGGAGCAATCAAACTGTTTTCATAACCGGCTTCAAGATTACAGTTAGCAGTTGGCTTCCAGATCCTGTGGTTCTGAGAGTCACAGAATCGGAAACCACTTGGTCCATACTAGTTCGTCTGTTGAAGGCCTGTCTCAGCCGGTTACGCGGTTTTTCAGATGCCCACAAACAGCGTGCGGCGATAAGTAAGCTGCCAAGTTGACCGCACGTGGACTACCTGACGATCTGCTAATGACGAACAGGTGTCGAGCATAGCCCACAGTTATCCCAGGTTGGCTTCATGGTTGCATTTGTCTGAATTCCAAGCACTGACTCGTTCGTCAGCCCTTCCATCCCTCCGACATAATCAACCGTTTCCTCCTGAGCAAGGTTTGTCTGACATGATAACGACGCTGTGTTCCGTTGCACTTCTTACAACATCGGCCAGAATCGAAATGCCAAGGTTGCTATTACACATGATAACCAATGGATGGATATGATGAAGGTAGGTCGTTGTGGTGCATTCATCTTACTCATGTCTTACTCTCATCTATTAGGAAGGATTAAGGCACGAGGACCTTCTCCATGAAGATCGTCTTGAAACGTTCTTAACACGATGTTATACCATCTCTGTCGACTCGGAAGGCGAAAACAGTAAATTTTTGATTGCTCTAATTGTCAATCATTGCTGATCACTCTTTAGGTACAGTGTTTCTGCAAGGCAAAGCGTTCGTCTTGTTATTTCACCTGTGTTCAGCGACATTTAAGACTGTTTACAGTAACGACACCATGGACTCTGTTTCCTCCCTCGTTGACCCACAAGATACATCCGCCGAGCCCGAGATGTCGGAGCCTCTTGCTTCCGGGTTTGAGGTATCGTCACCACCTACTTTTGAGCTGAAGATCTGACCACTCGCTACGCCTAGCTTGAGGCGTCGTCCCCTCCCACATCTGAGCTTGAGTTTTCTCCTCCTCCCACACCCTCCATCGACAATCCACGGATTGTCATTAGATGCACGTAGTCATGCTATCAGAATCCTTGAAGATGTCTGACAATGTTCTTGCAGGTATCCGTGCTCGAAATATAAGATTCCCTCTCCATCGGATCCCAGTTGGCTTTTTTGTTCTAGTCCAGTCTGGTAGTGACCAACGGAGAACTCAAATCAAGTCTATGCAGTTGAATGATAGTATCGAGTGGGAGGATGAGATTCTGCTGTGAGTTTATAATCTCCTGTCGGCATACAGCCTTTGATTGTTTGTAGGCCCTCTAGAGCGTTTGACAAGGTCCGGTTCACGGTTTATGCACCCTTCGAACTTGAACCGATGTTGGGAAATGGCGAGGTTCTCCATACATCAGAAAGCCCTGTAGAGGAGTTGGTGGGTGGCACACATTGTGAGTGAATCCCTCTGAGCACCGAGGCGCAACATGTCACAAGATTTTAATGCCAATATAGTAATCACATTCCCTTCGGGAGAATTAGAGACTTGCAACTCCTGAACCCTCACTGCTCGTTACCCTAGGACAACGGTATTCTAACCAATCGGCAGTAGCCCTAAGTGGCGATGATAGTAATGTGATTGGACTTGTATATGTCCATGCTCGTCAGTTGATGGCCTGTTGGCAGTTGCACTCGGAAGAATCCTTGAACCTCATTCATGAGACAAATTTAGGGCAAGAAGCTCTCCTCCGCTATCACCGTGAATACCAGAGGGAAGATCTCGACCATGCTGTCCGGCATTTCGAACGTGCTTGGCGAAACTGTCCTTCAACCCACCGATGTCGTGCGGTGGTGCTTGCCAACCTTGCGAAGGTCAAGTTCATCAGCTATCAAACTGACCCGACGGGTGCAAGTCTTGACGAGCCAATCCAACTTTATCGACAGGCCCTTGATCTGCGCCGTCGTGGTCATCTGGATAGACCGACGACGTTATTACAGCTTGCTCAAACTCTGTTATTTCGCTATGAGAAACAGGGATGCAATGAAGCTGTTGCAGATGAGATCAACGAGCTCATGACCGAGTTCCAGGATTTCTCTGATGACAGCCCTGAATGCAAGGCTGCGAATTTCGTGCTCGAAATGGTCAAGCGATGCAGAGCTGTCAACTCTGGAGACTTAGTTGAACTTGAGAAGTTGGACTGGAAATTGCAGCATAGCAAGATGGTACCTCCAGATGGCTACCTTGACAGACCGCGGCGATTGATCAAACTCAGTACCGCAATGTGGGGAGAGTGTGAGAAGCATGGGAAACTCAGTGACCTTGACCATTTGTTGGAGTTGAGCAAGCAAGCTTTGCGGTTACTCCCAAGTCGTCATCCTGACAGGCTTCCTGGTCTAAGAACCCTTGGTGGTGTGTTGTGGAGGCTATTTGAGGTCCATGATGACTTGAGCTACCTCAGAGAGTTGATTGTGCTTTGTGAAGAAGCTCTACAACTCATACCAGAGGGACATCCTGAACATCCATACTGGGTCACCAGTGAGTTGTTCCATCACCAATTTTGTTAATGCATAAATGAATATGCAGCTCAGATTTCAACCTCTTGCTTTGTTCTTTTTTCTAAAAGCCATCTTGTTGAGATGTTGGAATGCTTAGACAACATGGCCTTCAAGTCCCAGGAATGTGATGAAATAATTGGACAGTGATTATGGAAATGGACAGTATAGTAACTAAATTGTGAGAGATGGTCAGTCTGTTTGGGGTATACTCTAATCTGGTAGTCACCACTGATAACATATGAGTCAGGTCTGGGCCTTTGGGGGGTCAGGCTGATCAGGCATCTGTTCTAGTGATAGCAGGGTTTATATAGAGAACTGAGATATGAACTGATTGGATTTTGTGGGGATCAAGCCATTGACTATCATATACATATTTAAGGGAGGATGTGAAAAATTGCTGATAGTCAATGACTATTTTGTATATTTCAATATTTTGAGTATTTTAAGTATTTCACATATTTTACTAATTTTGCTAAGTAATATATAACTTCTACTTTTGCACAACAAAAATCATGTGGCAATTTCAAAGTCCTGCAGAGGTGTGCCACAATATTTCAAACTCAGCAGAAGCTGCAGAAATGTGAGTTCATGCCTCTTGCACAATGGACCCAATTCAAACAAACAATTGCCTGTCCCTGCTCTAGGGGAAAGCAAGCTCAAGATGACAGTACACAATACACTATTGAGATACAGGCTACTGCAGTACAACAAAATCTATGTCAAATCAATAAGTTTCACAGATGATAGGAGGGCAAATTGCTGACTGTTCTTGCAATGCTAAGCCACACTGGGATGCTGTAATCTAACTACTCTGATAACCACACTTTTCAGCTGATAAGCCCTGATGAAGGTGTTTTGGACACATTGTCTACTGATCCTTGCAAGCTTTGGTGTGATGCCACCTCTCCCTTCACAGATCCAAGCTGTTCCCTCACATTTTTGGGTGTTTTTCAGCTGATCAAGGCCCCTCTGCTCACAATTTGGGATGTCTGTGCTCAATCTGAGGAACTATGGAGATATCCAGGTCCACACAGAGGGTTCTGTGACTGGTTCTTCTCAGTCAGCTGGGGGTCAGCAGGTCAGTGTAAGTCAGGAATTCACCAAAGGCTGGATTAAGCCTCTTCCCCAGAGGCTGCAAAGGAACATGATGATATTGGATATTGGATCAAGCACATCATTTGAAATGTGAATTGGTATTGGTTGTTTGAGGAGCAATGCTCCACAACTGACCAGTGGGAATGGACACAGCTCTTCCCTTGAAATATGAGCTGGCACTAGTTAGTTGAGGGGTGTTGCTCCTCAACTAACCAGTGCCAGCAGAATGACCATTTCAGGATGAATCCAAGCTGGCAAAGCCAGTGGAATGACTATGTAGGATGCTCCTGAGGCCTCTCAGCTCCAGGCCTAGTGATAGCTAGTATAATATGAGAGAGGGATGCCATCAGGTAACTGCATGTACAAAGGGAAACATGCTACTTGTCCACAGCATCACAAGGAGTCTGGATATTGAACACAGTGTAAGGGGTAAAAGTGTCTGTGGAAGAATGGTACAACTATGAGATGAAAGAGAAGACAACTGGGAAAAGGAAAGATTGCTTGAGAAAGGAAGTACAAGGTGGCAATAAGTTTCAAGGTGGGCAGAACCTTGTAGGATGCAAGTGGCTCTTCAAGATCAGGTGCAATGCTGCTGGAACAATCAATAAGTACAATGGCTCACAAAATTGTCCCAATGTTTGCATGTTTTTCATTAATGATGGTCTGGACCATGGTACCTGGAGTGTAAAGAAGGTTTGGCTTCACCTTGACCTCCATACCAGTTTCTCTTTGGCAGAAATGCACTGGTTAATGGGTGATGGTTTGTTCATGATAGGGTGGATGCCAGATTGGATCTCCATGTCATTGTCAACTTTCACTGTAGTGATTAGTTCCAGGACACATAGGGCATTGGTGGGGAAACAGTACAGGGGAAGACTGCCAGCAGGTTTCTGAAGAGACTGATGGTTCTGAGAGCATATTCCATTGATTACACTGTAGTGTACACCAGCATTTACTGAGATTTCCCTGAGAGAATGTCCTTGATGAGCCAGAATGGTGATTTGTTGAGTTATGCTGCAGCAAGTAGGCTTAGTGGTGCAAAATCACTGTTTGGCATTGTTTGTTTGTTAACAAATCATTCAGTAGACCATATGATACATTGGGTAAGCATTGATGAACACCTCATCACATTTTATGTATATGTGTTCCCAGGGACTACATCCCCAGCATACCATAAGGTTACATAATTTTCCCAGTGAGCTGTCATTTTCATTTGGGTATTCTGTCACCAAGATATTATGTAATATAGCTTTCAAGAGAGCCATGACCAGCTGCTTTGATCCATCTACAGTACACTCATTCATGGAAGAAGTTGCTACCAACTTCAAAGTCTCTAACTTAGAGCCCATCAACAGGCTACTCAGAATGAAGGTGATACAGAATAGAGAGGCTGGTAATATGTATTTCCCTACCACAACAGCCATACATTGAGGCCATTCTGACTAAGTACAACCTTGCCAGCTGCAAATCAGCCACAAATCCAATTGCCCCAGTCTCAAAGTCTCATGTGAAAAATTCTGCAGCCAGTCCAAGAAGCTGCACACATGAAACATGTACCATACAATGCTGCAGTAGGCTCACTCATGCTTCTCACTGTTAGATCTCATCCAGATATTGGATTTGCTGTCTCTACAGTTGCATGATTCAATGATGCACCCAACCAAACCCACTGGGACACTATAAAGCAAATCTACAGGTACATGTGCTGCCAGCACTAAGTTGCTTGCTTGGATGTTTGGAAGCTCTGGGTGAGGAGTAATGGGTTATACCAACACAAATGGAGTGTTTCAGGAACACTGACATGCTAACAGTGGATACTCTAATCTACTTATAGTGGGGCCTCATGCAACCAGGAGCTCATCATACTCTCAATCACAAAAGCAGAATGTCACAGTAACTCCCACTGTCAAGGAAGGCCTATGGCCCCAATGGCTCATTGGAGAGGTCTTCTGATAACTTAAACACCCATTCCTCTATATTCCAGCAGTCAATTTGTCATCATGCTCACACTGAAAATATCAAGACATGAGACTATTTCATTCATTTGCTGTGAAAATCATCTTTCCTTCTTTTCTATACCCTAATGATGATATACAGTAGACTTTCTCATAATGCATAATGTCAGACCAGCAGAAACTGGCATCTGGTACCACAAAAAACTCAATCATGGAAAAAAAATAGTTATGCATTATGAAAAAGTGTACTGTACCCTTACCAAGCCTTTCCTTAGCATCAAGGTAATACACACCCAGACTTCATTCCAATTGAGGGGGAGTGTCAAGTATGTGACCCAGAGTTTACATTAGGCTCTTGGAGCTTCACTCCAGATGCCCAGGGTGTAGCTCAGACCTTTAGGATTGTCCCATACAAATATTGTTTACCCAACCATGGTACTGAAACATGTCAACCCCATTCCTTTTTCCACCTCAGTGACTATTCCATTTATTGAGGTGAGCATAGCTACATATCACTCATTTATCTAAACTTTACTGGCATATAGCAAGTATTCTGTCTACTGAGAACTCAAACCTTCATTGCCATAGATATTATGACATCCACAGCAGCCAGAATGTATATATATATATATATGAAGGACAAAACTGAAAACAGGAAAAATCAAAGAATCATAGTCATTATTTGTGCATTCCAGCATACAAATTTGTCTACACTAGACAAGTACTATATCGATATCATGCAGCTGGCTGGAAACATTGATGCCATTTATTCCCATGAACAATCTGGCTTGAGTCCAACTCTATGCAATGATCCCAGGGTATCATTGCTATTGTCCATATAGAATACAACCTTCTCCATAATATTGGAGGTATCCACAACAACAATCTGCCCCTGGGACCTCTGATCCAACCATCAGGGTGTAACCTAACAGGTTCATCCCTCACACTATCATCTTCCTGGAGCCCATCAAGAAGTTGCAAGACATCTGAGAGTGCATGTGAAGGGACTGATGAAAAGCAAACAGGGTATGGTTGAATGACTGAACATGAGTTAATTAAAATAAGGAGATATAATACAGGGATATTACTCACCAGCAGGAGAGGGAACAGGTACATTTTTCAAATTGTGTACAGGTAGCAATATTCCAAAGTTCTGAGCATCCAAGACCCTCACAGCAGATGCTGCTGAAGCCAGGGCTACCTTTGTGCCATCAGGGGAGATTGCCACAGAATAGATGTCACCAGTGTGCCCCTGGATAGGGATGCCAATCTGCCTAAAACTCTCAGCATTCCAGACCCTCACAGTCTCATCAGAAGAGCCTGAGAAAATCCTATTACCAGAGAATCTGACTGACTGGACCCAACCAGCATGCCCCTGAAGAGGGTCACCAATCTGCACACCACTCTCAACATCCCAGATCCTCACAGTCATGTCATCTGAGCCTGAGATAATCCTCTTGCCATCAGAGGAGAATCCAACTGACCGGACCCAACCAGCATGCCCATTAAGAGGTTCACCAATCTGCATGCCACTTTTGGCATCCCAGATCCTCACACTCTTGTCACAAGAGCCTGAGACAATCATCTTGCCATCAGGGGAGAATCCAACTGACAGGATCCAACCAGTGTGCCCCTGAAGAGGGTCACCAATCTGCACACCACTCTCAGCATTCCAGATCCTCACAGTCCTGTCATGTGATCCTGAGATGATCCTCTTTCCATCAGGGGAAAATCCAACAGACTGGACCCTACCAGTATGTCCCTGAAGGGGCCCACCAATCTGCACACCACTCCCAGCATCCCAGATCCTCACAGTCTTGTCCCAAGAGCCTGAGACAACCATCTTGGCATTGGGGGAGAATCCAGCTGACTTGACCTGATCAGTATGTCCTTGAAGAGGGCCACCAATCTGCACACAACTCTCAACATCCCAGATTCTCATAGTATTGTCATTTGAGCCTGTAACAATCCTCTTGCCATCAGGGGAGAATTCAACTGACTGCACCCCACCAGTTTGCCCCTGAAAAGGCCCACTAATATGCACACCTCTTTCAGCATCCCAGATCCTCACAGTCTCATCCTGAGAACCTGATATGATCCTTTTTCCATCAGGGGAGAATTCAACTGACTGGACCCAATTAGTATGCCCCTGATATGGGCCACCAAGCTGTACACCTCTCTCAGCATTCCAGATCCTCACAGTCTTGTCATGTGAGCCTGAGACAATCCTCTTGCCATCAGGAGAGAATCCAACTGACTGGACCCAACCAGAGTGCCCCTGAAGAGGTTTACCAATCTGGACACCTCTTTCAGCATCCCAGATCCTCAAAGTCTTGTCATTTGAGCCTGAGACAATCCTCTTTCCATCAGGGGAGAATTCAACTGAAT